TCGAGACTTCAGGCTAATTGAGAACCTTCCGCAGTATAACTTTCATGAAAACTGAACTTGGTAAAATGCAATCCGACTTAACTGCAGTCTAGGGGGAAACCATATCCGGGTGACCTCTCTTGACTTGACAACAAACCGTTTACTTGCTTTGTGTTTTGTTTGCTTGAGTTTCACTAAAAGTTCACCGCTAAATAACAAGAATTCACCGAGTAGTCATCACATCTAGGACCCGGGTTGACATTAAAACCCGACCCGCTATACTACGCTTTAGGAAGTGGTTATACTTGGCCATTTTCTAGGGTGACAGTAGGAGTGAGTCATTTTCTCATGTGTTTGCAAAAGACATAGGTCTCACAAAAGAAATTTGTTTTATTTTTTATAACAGGAATTCCTCGCACAAGGTTCAACTTGGATAGAATAGCCCGTTTGGAAGACCGATATGTCCGAGTTTCCTATGCCATAGGAATAACTGTAGGAAAGAGACTACAAAGAAGTATTCATTGAAAGCATCCAAGTTGTGTAGATCAATGATATGCATATTATTTTGCCGAGTAGCAACAAAAACAATATGACTGTCTGAAAAACGTTCAACAAGACAACGAGAGGCCTAAAAAATTACCCTATGATCATTTCCACACAGTTGGCTAATGGAAAGTAAGTTATGTTTGAGACCATCTACAAGTATTACGTCATGAATCATAGGTAACGGCTTGTTACCAATGGTTCCTGTTCCGATAATGGTTCCAGAACTGTCATCACCAAACACCACTTTACCTCAAAATTTTAAGGATAGGGTTGAGAAAAGAGCACGCTTACCAGACATATGATGCGAGCAACCGCTATCAAGATACCATAAAGAGTCTTCGTTATCACAAATAGACGAAAAATTGTCAGATGACAACTGAGGCTGAGTACTCCCTGATTCAAACGCCATATATGCTATCTCTTCCCCCTGATTATCATCAGCATCAGGCTCGTAATCACTCCATGATGCTTTCATCACTTGTTCCTTAGCTTTGAGAGTTTGCGGACAATTGGCCCGAATGTTGCCATATTTACCACACTTATAACATGCCTGACCTTCCCGTTCAGATTGACCAGTTTCTAACACTCTGGTCTGCTGATAAGGCAACCTTTCTTGAGACACATTCTTAAAACTTCATTAGCAATAAACTTGGATTCATCAGCCCTACGTTTCTAATCATTTTTATTACAAAGCATACGATGTAATGTTTTACTAACCAAAGCAAACTCTTTATCAAAATCATGTATGGAATCCTCATCAGAATCATATTCAACCACTTTAGATTTTAAAGCTAGACTCTTCTTACGTTTTTCATCATCTTGAAACACCTGACGTATAACATGCTCGTGACTTAATAAAGACCCAATTAACTCATCAATATGCAGACGATTTAAATCTTTTGCCTCTTCTATGGTGATACGTTTTGGAAGCCACTCTTTAGGTAGAGACCTAAGGATTTTCCTGTTTAAGTCCTTTGACTAAAAGGTTCGTCCCAAACCTTTTAATTTATTAAAAAGAATAGTAAACCCAGAGTACATATGATAGTATTCCTTCACCAGCAGCCATTTCAAAAATCTCATAATCATGCAACAGTAAGTCTATGCGAGTTTCTTTGATGTTAGAGGTACATTCATATGTACTTTGGAGAGCAAGTCGGATTTCTCAAGCGGAATCACAATGTTCAACCTTATCGACCTCATCTGGTAGCATCGCATATTGGAGAACATGCATTGCCCGCTGATTCATTTGAGCGCTCTTCTTCTGGTCTGCGCTCCACTCAACTTAAGTTTCTGCATTCATTTCGAGAGGGGCATTTTGCACCACAAGCCACAATTTGTCGTCTATTCCCTAGAGAAATGTCTTCATGCGCTTCTTCCAGGCAGTGTAGTTAGCACTAGTGAAAATAGGAGGTGAATTCAGCGCTCCATGCGTGAAATTTGACGCCACCATGGATCCTTACTTGGCAGTAGCAAGCTTCAATCAAGCAGCAACTCTGATACCATTTGTTAACCAACATATTTCATTAGAGCAATTTAGGGTTTGAGATAAATTGGGGAAAATTAGAAATGAAAGAGAACGAAAGGAAGGGAGAGATGATGTTGGCTCAATACTCTCTGAGAATTCGTTCTCTAAGGGTTTACAATTGGGCCCAAGAACTTATAAGTCCCGCAAGTAATGATAGGTTGACGATCGATAACTAGAAAAAATTGGAAGATTATGAGAAACAGTAATACCGTGGGGGTGGGTACAGGATGCAAATTGGAGAAAACTTGGCGATTGCAATTACGGGGATATTAATACTTTTTTTCCTTCTATTAATAAAATTTACAACACAAAGTGAATTTAGGTAACTTATGCATAAAACCGGTGAAAAATCATTCGATTGAGTTATTCAAATTTATTATTTTATTCTTGGTCTAGGTATATAGTTAATTAAAATGAAAGGTGTTGTATTTCGCCCAATGATTCTATCTCTTCTATATCGATAAATTACTATAATAACTATTTCAATGCTTCTATTGCTGAAGACGATGTTTGATCAGTTATATAGTCCTCATTTACTTCTCTTCCTATACCAGACTTTGAACTTGAATGGGTTTTTGGTCTTCGGCCAAGGTTAATCGTTTCATGTATGTAAGTCATTCATTTTTTCTCTTTGTCCCATGGTTTTATCTTACTTATTAATAACAAAAATGACTTTTTTCCCCAGGTTGTATCATGAGACGAACATGCAGAAGATTTATTTATTTTGATCCTATTATGTAAACGATGTTTGAAACCCGATGGATCTCTTGCGTCGTTGCTCCTCTTTCTGTTCTTAGGTTTCAACTTCAATGAGGCTTTTATCTTCATAGAATGTTCATTGAGTTGAACTGGTAGGCTATTATTCCCTTCCCAATTTATCTTAGTTGTTTGTGATTGATTTATAAAATATAGAAAAGGAATTTGAACGGTGGTTTGGGTGCTTGATTTGTTTGAAATCAAATAGATATTTGGGTAGAACACGAGCAGTTGTACTTTTCTACTCCCTATCTACTTTTTTGTTGTTTGTTTGCTGGTTTTTTTTTTGTTCTTTGGTTAGCTATTGAAATAATAAAATAATATCACCATTTAATTTTTCCAGTATAATATTTCCGCACAGGATTTATTTTGTCATAGCTAATGTTCTCCAGAACCATATTTTTCTTCATTTATCTCGATTCTTATGGTCCAGCTCACCGATCAAATTTTGATGTTGTTTTAGGATTAGTTAGACACTGTTGATTTTGTCGATGTGTTTAGTGTCAATCAATATAATTGCAAGCCACAATGATTGATAAAATTTAGCCTCCACGCAACAATACTCTGGGAGGTGGTGGTGTTGAACTTGGAGTAGAAGAGTTGGGATTAGGTTTGGGAAAGGAAGTAGTGGGAGAAGAAATTATGTTCGGATTTGCTAGCAAGTAAAGTTCAACTACATCAGGTGAAGACAGAGAAGAGGGAGTTGGCGAGGTAGTGATCAAATTGAGGAGGGTATTGAAAAACATGAAAGTAAAACTGTAGTAGTTTAAGAGAGAGAAGTGAGAGATGATGAGGGTATTTATGAAAATGGAGAGGGTGACATAGAAGTGATCTGGAGTAGGTGAAGGCAGTCAAGGAGGATATGAGCATACTGATGGAATTGAAGATGATGAGTGGCTTTACCGAGCTTATTACAAATGCCCCTAAGGAAGATGTGTTGGCCAAATACAAGAAAATGTTGAGGAGTTGAAGAGTAAGTTGACAAGAATTCCAATTGGAAGAGAAATTAAGGCTCATATAGAGAAGGTATATCAAAGTAGCAGAAATAGAATTGCAGGAGAAGAATTAGAAAGTGAATTTTGGGTTGAAACAAATGCCTCTTGAGATTGGAGATAGAGGGGATAAGAAGTTGGTTGTACAACGAATAGTGGTGGCTATTGGTCTTTAGGTTTATGGTTGTGCACCTACCACAACCTATGTCTATCTTAAAATGAGGAATCATATATTGATTTATTAAAATTAAGGTCGATTATCTATTCAAACTAATGGGAGATAAGCAGTGTCTAATTTTGTGTCTTATTAGTTTCATCGAGTCATTAGTATATTGGAGGTAACCTTATTTTGTCATTTGCGCTCAACTTTTGATGGTTCCCTTTTAGTTGAGTTGTTAGTATATGGTTGATTTGAATCAACAACTCTTCATTTCTTTTTAATTAGTGGCATGTGGTTCCTAAAAAGAGAGCATTGAACCCTTTATGTAGGATTATGAGATTTTAGTTTTCAATTATCTATATGTCGTGTGGGAATTCCAGCGGGCTTTTATACTCTATATGTCCTCACAATTAATTAACCAATATCATTTTAATGGGAGCTTAATTATAATTATGAAATTGGATTAAGAATAAATTTTTATATTTTATATACTTAAATGCTGATGGTATTTCTTCAAATATTCAACCTATACATTCATTGTTTATGTATCATCTCGATTGAAGGATTGTCAATAAAATTAAATGGATTAATAAAATTAAACATAACATAAAATATAAATACTCAAATACAAACATTCCGGCCAACTCGCCGGTTATAAGCTAGTATGGAGAGAGTGGAAGTTTGTAATTTCAAATTTATGTTTTTAAAACTTTAAATTTTATTTTGAATTTTATTAATATTATAAAATTAATATTTAATTGCATTAATTTTGAATTTAAATTCAATTTGTGTTAATTATTAATTAATATCCTAATTCTAAATTGTCCTTTTTGACGGTTAGACAAACTCGGATTTCATGGTACCCAAATGATCCCCCGGATCGTGTTAAAAAAGTCCAACTGCTACCTTTGGCCCGTCTTTATCTTCTGCGCAAAACCGCCACTTCTTCCCCACCTCTTCGTCTTCTTGCTTGCTCGAGAGAGTACTGCTAGCCGCCGCTTTCGTTCCTTCCACTTTGAGCAGATTCCTAAAGCTATAGCAAATGGCGGGAAAAGACAAGGCAAACTCTCAATCTCAATCTCAAGCACACTTCCTGACGGAAGATATTCTTATTAACATTCTCCTCAGACTGCCAATCGCTTCATGCATCTTCCGATTCCGCTGCGTCTGCAGATCCTGGCGGATTCTCCTCTCAGATCCCCAATTCATCCGCAAAATCCTCTTCTTCCGAAACCCCGCCGACCAACGATCCCTCCAAATCCTCATCGCCGGCGGAGATCTCGACCCAGCCAGCCTCATCTCAAAATTCCACTACTCCTTGCACTCCTACGACACCCTCCGCCCCATTTCCGCCGCCAGCGCTGTGGGTCGAGAATTACCCTTCATCCCGGACAAGATTCGCGATCCTTTGTCCCGTTTGACCGTCGTCGGTTGCTGCGACGGCATATTCTGCATCTCCGATGAGAATGAGCGGAGCCCCTCCGAAATCATTCTGTGGAATTCGATGACTTCCGAGACCAAGCTCCTGCCGCGTTCCACTTGCCCTCGCGCTCCCAGCGGCACGATCAAGGGCTGTGAGTCCATCGGTCTCGGTTTCGATCCCCTGACCGGGGACTACAAGGTTGTCAGGACGTTGAAATATTCGGGGAATGAGGAAGCTGATAGTGATGATTACTACGACTTCGGCTATGTCTGCCCTCCTGCCACTACTTTTAAAGAGGTAAAATTTTACTTGAATGTGTTCAGTTGCATATAATCAATGTATTGTGCTCAATTCAATTTTGCTGCCCTGCTGATGAGCGGGGATCAGCATTGTCTGACATCGTTGGATCGCTTAATCGTTGGATGCAACGTGAACTGTCACATGTGCATTCATCGATCCAATGACATTAGCTTAGGCGAATTCCGAAGTATGATTGTGCTAAGCAGACCTTGCTTAGTTTTGATTAAGTATATTGGCTTAATCATTGAACATATGAGAAGTTTGATTTCTTCCCCTGTATATGCCCATTGTGGTCAGGTCTATAGCTTGAAGAATGATTCATGGAAGAGATTGACTGATAAGTCTTGTTCGGTTGGGTGGACGCCTGGATATGTTCATCAAGACACATCGCGGAACGAGAAGTGCTATTGGTATTACTCTATAGGAGATGAAAACTTCTACCTTATTACATTTGATGTGAGCAAGGAAGTGTTTAGAAAGGTTACCTTTGCTGCTCCCCCTGGCAAAGATGGATGTTTCTCCCAGTCATGTTTTATGTTGAAGGAGGCACTGGTGACGACTTTCGATGATTTTGGTCCGTTGGAGGTATGGGGGTTGATGAAATATCAAGGTTCTCATCATCGTCGTAGCAATGATCAGAAAAGAAAGAAGAAGTATCGAGCTTCCAAGTCTTGGACTAAGCTATTCACCTTTCCACGCTATGAATGGCACCGCAACTTGGAAGCCTGGAAGGAGGGCATGTTTATATGCTCGCGACGGGTCACTTCTCGTGATAGTCATGATCCTGAATCGAAAGATACCGATGGAGTTTTCGTTTTGGATCCTGCTACTGGGGGGATCACCGGCGATAGCCTTGAAACTCAAGGGAGAACTCATTCATTCCAAGCCCACACTTACACTCCGACTCAGGTTTCATTGTCGGTTCTGTCGTAACACGACTGTCGACCTCCATGAATGCAACCAAGCACCTTATTGTTCATATGTTTTTATGCTTTAGAACTTTAGTTTGATGTTCGCAGTTTGCTTTTATCTAGCATGTTCCATCTTGAAACGGTAGACCTTATGATAGATTTCTTCTTTCCTTTTGGTGAATACTGCATTTCTTCTTCTTCCAAGTTCTGACATAGAACCTACTGCTCTACTACATTTTGATGGGAGTGAAGAGAAATAGCTGAAGGTATTGATCAGCAAAGTTCATTAATAATCCTATCTTGACGATTGACATTTCTCCTGTAACTTGAATGAGATTATGAGAGTGGTTTCAATTATCTTGGGAATGGCTCTCCAATCTCCTCCCACTCTTAAATTTCCTTCTTCCTAATCGACTCTTGGCCTCCATCATCCAATCTTCATGTCCGTTCTTCCTTTTAGCAGATTCCTCCTGTCTAAGCATACGGCTAGCAAATGGTCGAAAGTAACTGCAGGGAGTCTCAAGTAGTGATACTGTCCTACATTCCCCCCCCCTCTAGTTAATTCCAAAAAATTGATGTTTTATGTTCAGGGACGTAAAATTGATTGTTCCTGTCGTATCACCCTTTTGACATTTTTATCGGTTTTTACTACCATATATCGGTGATTTTATAGTAAGTTTTTATCGAATACTAGTTGAACTAGATTGTACCGGGTTTGAGTTCAAGTCCTTAAGTCTCATTCTTTAAGGAGAATTTTAAAGTTTTCCTATTGGTTGATAGTAGATTAGGTAGTTAAAGGGGGTTAGTAGTTAAGAGGTAGTTAAGAGCAAATGAGATTATGCAAATATAATTAATATTAATAATTCTATTTCTCTCTCCTCCCTTGATTTTCTCCATAACCCTCTCTCTACATTATAATAAAAAAATACAAAATTAATTTTATTTATATTTAATATTTAATGAAATCCGAATTTAATAATTTTACTTTTCTATAATGGAAATTTAAAATTTAAAATATATGGCCTCTCTCACATCTTGGCAACTTGAAATTTAGTATCAACATTTTGTAATGACATTATCAATATTTATAAATTGAATCATCATTAGAGCTTTTCGTTGCATGGGTTTAGGATTTTTCATTTTTAGGTATTCGTTTGTGTTATTATTAATGTTGTTCGAGAGGTTTTTTAATAATGTTATGTGACATTATTAACTTTTTATGTTTTGTTTGTAACATTAGCAAAAGTGAAATTGTGTTTTCAATTTGTTGGTACTTGAAGTTCATTTGCTATTACATCGTATTATCAATTTGGTTCGCAATGATTTATAATCATTTGAAGTGCTATTATCAATGTTTTTCAAGCACAATACAACCATTAGCAATAATTTATTTCATTGATTTGTATTATTAACATTTTTTCGTTTATGTTTGTAACTTTGTCAAATGTCATTATCAAGAAGCATACTTGTTAGGTATTCATTTGTTTATGACATTAGCAAAAGTGATTTGTGTTTAATGATACAACTATGGTTATTAACTTTTCAGGCTAAGTTAGTAACGTAGTTGGTATCATTATTAATGGGGTGTGTATAAGCATTATCAATGTTTGAAAAAATAATATATTAATAATATCTAGTAAGGTACTTAACAATTATTAGTTGCTATCATTATCAAAGTTTTTGGTTGCATTATCCATTAAACACATGTTAGTTATTAATGTGTTTTTAGTGCTACTTGACATTAAACAATTAATTTGAATAATTAATATTTTTTTATTACAAAAATCTATTTCCTTATCAGTGACTTGCTCATTTGTAAAACAATATTAATTGATCATAAAACGTTAATAATGTCATTATAAATTATTGAAAGAGGCCATGACTAGATAGTTATAAACATGATGTGAAAATGTGAATCATTAGTACTAAAGATGTTGTAAATCAATGATATTGTTATTCAAACTGTTAATGAGCATGTTACATAATTTTAATGATTCATTCATAGGCGTTGATGACGAAACCATAAAACGGTAACAATTAATCCAAAATTGTTAATAATGTAATTGTAAAGAATTGATAAGTATATTGAAATCGTTAATAGTGATGAGGTATAATAATAACGATTCATTTCATAAATGCTGATAATGTCATTGCAAAATATTAATAATGGATTGCAAGTTGCCACGAAGAGAGAACATATATTTTTAATTTTCAATTTTAATTTTTAAAATTAAAAAAGTATTAAGTTTGAATTTACTAAATATTAAATAATAATGTTTAACTAAATTAATTTTGAATTTCCTATTCATTGTAGTGGAGAGAGAGGGTTATGGAGAAGGTCAAGGGAGAGAGAGAAAAAGAATCATTAATGAGTAATATAAATTATATTTTTATAATATCTTATTTATTCAAACTAAATATTAACTCCTAACCATCATTAACTAGCTAATCTAGTATCAACCAATAAAAATAGTTTAAGAACCTCCTTAAACATTGAGGCTTAAGGACTGGATCCAACCCGGTGGTACTTGCAAATTAAATTTCATTTTAGTCATTGAATTAGTATGATGTTATTGTTTATAAGGTATCGGTTTCTTAACGGATTTTTAACAATTTAATACCGGTTGGACGACTAAAGTGCGACTCGTTAACATTACCGGGTTATGCTCCGATTCGGTTCTAACAACATTGCTAAAAACATAAAAAAAAAAATGTTGGTCGGATATTGATCGATTCATCCGACTAACCGACAAATCCGGATCGCCCGAACCAGCAGATATAGACATTGTTTGCCTTCCATTTTTTTCTTCTTTTTGTGGAAATTTACCTTCCTTTCTTCAACCGAGAATTGAATGAAAAGGGAAGAGAATATTCATTTTCCTTTTTCTACAACTTTCCACTTCTTTGTTTTCTCATTTCTGTCTCTTGCAGCCACCTACCAGGCTAGTGGCTACCACTATTTACTTTACATCTTTATCTTCTCAATTTTTTATTTCTTTCCCAAACTCTCAATTACGTTCTCTTTCTTCTTCTCATTAATTCCCCCTTTCTCAATTGACCTACATAATTGGTCCAAACTAAAAAAAGGCAAAAAATTCATATCACCAATAAATTTCTCAATATTTTTATATTCTTATTTATTTATAAGTACTATAATTATATAATTTATGATTGAATTTTCAAATGAATATGTGTATAAGAAATAGAATTCTCAATTTAAATACTAGTATTAATTTTCATATGTATTATAAAATCATTCTAATTTTATTTGTAAAAATTATATGACACCCATTTCTTTATCGATTAATCACCATTTATCCGATAAACTTTAAACCTCTCACTAATCATGGTCATTGCCCGGTCCGGCTTTGACAACACTAGTTTGTATTAGGGCTGGGCATGCGGGCGGATCATCTGCGGGTTTGGGCCGACCCACCCGCATTTGATCCGAATTTCGTTAAGTGGGTGGGTCTGTGAGTGGGTGACGGGTTGCGCTGGGAGCCATCCGCCGGGTGGTGGGTGGGTTGTGGGTGAGTGTGCGAGTGACCCGCTAAACCCAACAGCAAAATGATCAAAGTCGTTGGCGCTAGAGAGAGGAGAGTGTAGACGTTAGATATAAATTCGGACTGCTCCTGGAGTTTGAACCTCAAAGCCAACCTTCCAAATAGAGATCCCCTCTTCTTCCCTTTACTTTTTCCTCTAATTCTTGTGCCTAGATCACCGCTCTTTTTGAAAGCCAACCTTCCAAAGAAACAACCTCGTTAAAAGTTGCAACAGCTCCACAAAACTGCAACCCTTTCGCGGCACCGCTTTGGCCAAAACAATTGTGTCGGGGTTTTCTTTTTAATTCATATTTGACCAACTAACAGTCACGCCAAAAATAATTTAACCACGTTTTGGCCACAAGAAAAATCCGACTGGTGTACTGTTGGGCGCAGCGGGTGAGAATAGCGGGTAAATATATTGCACTAAGAAATCACACGCTTGTAAAAAGTTCACAGGTAAGTTGGACCTGGTGGCAGAGCCTCCAGAATTACGGTAACCAACTTACTTAGATCAATTTACTTCGGTAATTTAATAATGCAATATACTACGACTATTCTCAAAATAACAACAAGCATATACAATAATAAATGGCACAGAGGATTTACGTGGTATACCCTGATTTAGGGCCAGTCCACGGGAACACAGTTCCGGAGTATTTCTTCACTATTGCAACAGTAGGTTACAGAGAATTTCAAGATACAAGGAAATAGAACACTCGGTGTTTCCCGGAACAACCTCACTATTTCACTCACAAGAATTCTCCTATCTACCCGTGGTAGTGAAAACGTTTCACTACCAAAACCCACAAAAGAATTACGAACAGAAGCAGAGCAAAGGCATTGGAGAAGTATGGAATGGTGGGATGATCTAAAGAGCTATTGGTGGTCTCCTTTTATAGCCTAAGGAGAAGAGAGAGGGAATTAAATTCCCACCAAGTTTTTCGGTGCTAACTGCCTGCACCTCTCCCCAGCTGTGTTTATTATTATCTGTTAGTTTTTTTTATCACTAATTATCACCGCCAATTGCTGGCTTCTTCCACACCACATGTAGCCGGGCCAACAATTCTCCCCCGCCTGACTACATAGGTGACTTCGTCATCCCTGCAGCTGATCGACAGAACTCAAACTTTTCTCTTGGAAGAGTCTTGGTACACATGTCAGATCCATTTTCGTCAGTATGGATCTTCTTTAGTTGTAGCTGCTTCATTTCAAGCACATCTCGTATCCAATGATATCGAACATCGATATGTTTTGATCGGGCATGAAATGAAGCATTCTTCGCAAGGTGAATAGCACTTTAACTGTCACAAAACAACTGCGGTTGTTCTTGTTGAAACCCAAGTTCTTTCAAGAACTTCTTCATCCAGATCATCTCCTTGCACGCTTCCGTTGCTGCTATGCACTCAGCTTCTGTTGTGGAAAGAGCTACACATTTTTGTAGCCTTGACGGCCACGATATTGCTCCCCCTGATAAGGTAATCAAGTACCCAGAAGTGGACCTCCCCGAATCAACATCACCTTCCATGTCAGCATCTGTATAGCAAACAAGAACATGTTCACCATCTCCAAAACATAGACTCATTTTGGAGCTACCTCGAAGGTATCTGAGGATCCACTTCACAGCTTCCCAATGTTCCTTTCCTGGTTTGGAAAGAAACCGACTGACAACTCCAACTGCATGAGCAATATCTGGCCTTGTACACACCATGGCGTACATCAAACTTCCCACTGCTGAAGCATATGGAATTTTATCCATCTTCGCCTTTTCCTTATCAGTAGACGGGATCTGTTTGGATGTCAATGTAAAGTGGTTAGCAAGAGGACAGCTAACCGCCTTAGCATTATCCATGTTGAAACGTTGAAGTACTTTCTCAATGTACTTCTCTTGTGACAACCATATCTTCTTGGCACCTCGATCCCGAATGATCCTCACGCCAAGAATCTGTTTTGCTGGTCCCAAGTCTTTCATGGCAAAAGACTTGCTCAACTCCTTCTTCAAGTCATTGATCTTGGAAACATTTTGCCCAACAATTAGCATATCATCCACATACAGCAACAATATGATGAAATCTCCATATGAGAATTTCTTCACAAATACGCAGTGGTCAGAAGTAGTCTTCATGTAACCTTGCTCCCCCATAACAGACTCAAACTTCTTATACCACTGTCTTGGTGCCTGCTTCAAGCCATACAAGCTCTTACGGAGCCTACACACATGCTCCTCCTTTTTCTCCTTCTTGAAGCCTTCTGGTTGCTCCATGTAAATATCTTCCTCCAAATCACCATGAAGGAAGGCAGTTTTCACATCCATTTGTTCAACCTCCAGGTTAAGACTTGCTGCTAGTCCCAGCACAGTACGAATGGATGTCATTTTCACCACAGGTGAAAATATCTCGTCAAAGTCAATGCCTTTCCTTTGACTGAAGCCTTTCACGACTAGTCTGGCTTTGAAGTGTGGTTGACGGTTGTGTTCATCATGCTTGATCTTAAACACCCACTTGTTCTTCAAAGCTCTCTTGCCTTTTGGCAACTTCACCAGCTCAAATGTGTTGTTCTCATACAAGGAATCCATCTCGTCTTGCATGGCTTCTATCCACCTTTGCTTGTCTTCATCATTCATAGCTTCTGTGAAGCTTTCTGGTTCTCCACCGTCAGTAAGTGAGAAGTATTCAGTCTCGGGATATCTGGTAGACGGTCGTGAAATTCTACCAGATCTTGTTGTTCGAACATGAGAACCTTCTATGGCTGGTGGTTGACCATCGTCATCAGCATCTTCTGGTTCAACCTTCACATGGGCATCTGGTTCAACTATCTCAGGCTGATCATGTTGTACTTCTTCTCCAACTTCTGTAGGTGCTGGTGTTGGAGGCACTAGCTCAAGGTTTGGCTGGCTAGCATCAGTACTAGGAACTTCTTTCCTAGCAACAACATCTTCGATGGTCTCATTCTCGATGAACACAGCATCACGGCTTCTGATAAGTTTCTTCTGGATTGGATCAAAGAATCTATAGCCAAACTCATTTTGACCATAGCCAATGAATACGCACGGTCGCGTCTTTGAATCCAACTTTGACCTTTCATCCTTTGGAATATGGACAAAGGCCTTGCAACCAAACACCCGCAAATGTTTGTAGGAAACTTCTTTTCCTGTCCACACCTTCTCTGGGGCGTCATACTTCAGTGGCACACTGGGTGACCTGTTCCACACGTAAACTGCTGCAAGCAATGCCTCCCCCCAGAAAGATTGTGGTAGCTTCGAGTGTGATAACAAGCACCTGACTCTCTCTAGCAGGGTCCTGTTCATCCTTTCAGCTAGCCAATTCAATTGCGGCGTCTTTGGTGGTGTGAATTGCTGCCGAATTCCATGTTCCTTGCAGAAGGTATCAAACGGACCTCTGTACTCTCCACCATTGTCAGTCCGGATGCACTTCAGCTTCTTGCCAGTTTCCCTCTCCACCAGGGCCAAGAATTGCTTGAAAACGTCTAGGGCCTGATCCTTGGTCTTCAAGGTATACAACCAAGTCTTCCGTGAATGGTCATCAATGAATGTCACGAAATATCTGGCACCTCCAAGTGATTTGACGTTGACATCGGGTTCACAGAGATCTGAGTGAACTAGATCCAACACGTTCTTCGCTCTTGAAGGGATGGAACTTTTGAAAGCAACTCGGTTTTGCTTTCCCGCAAGGCAATCAACACACTTCTTTAGATGAACATGATCCAACCCAACTATGACTTTCTTCTGGGCCAATTTTGCCATGGACTTCTCACTCATGTGACCGAGTCGTTTGTGCCACAATTCAATTGTGTCACCATTCTCCGCTGAGTTGACAATCTCTAGGGAGATCTTGGCTTCCGTCACATACAGCTTTGACAGCTTCTTGCCCTTGGCCAACACCAAGGAGCCTCTGGTGAGTTTCCACTGGCCATTGTGAAAGGTGTTCCAGTAACCTTCCTCATCCAACTTGTCTACAGAGATGAGATTCAGGCGCATTTCTGGAACATGCCTGACATCCTTCAGTAGTAGCTTCGTACCATTCATCGTCTCCAAGCATACTTCTCCTTTTCCAATAACTTTGGAAAGGTTGCCATTTCCCATTCTTACCACACCAAAGTCACCTGGTGTGTAAGATGAGAAAAATTCTCTCTTGGACGTCACGTGAATGGTAGCACCACTATCAACCACCCAGCTTGTCTCCTGGGTTGTTAGGTTGACAACATCTTCCTCGTAGACAATATTGAACTCATAAACAGAGTTTGCACCATCATCATCACTGTTCTCATCTCGTTTGCCCTTCCTTCTCTCGTTTTTAAACTTTGGGCAAAATCTTCTGATGTGGCCCTTTTCCTTGCAATGATGACAATTGATGTTGGCAAACTTGTTGGACTTCCCTCGACTCTTGCCTCTTTGCTTCGAGCCTCTCCCTTCACTTCTTCCTCTGCTTCTGGAATCCACCGCCAAAAGGTCTGACTGGGATGATGATGAGGATGCACCTTGTGATCTTTTCCGCATCTCTTCATTCAGAACCCCACTTTTGACGATCTCCATGTTGATAACTCCATCTTTCGCAGAGTTGGTAAGTGAAATTTTTAGCGTCTCCCAAGATTCTGGAAGGGAAGCCAGAACGAGGAGAGCGACCACCTCATCTTCCATCTTTATGCCCATACCGGACAACTGATCCACGATCCCTTGAATTTCATTCAAGTGATCCGCCAAGGATTTGCCTTCCTTGTATTTCATCTGGACCAACTTGGTCAGATAAAATAATTTGTTGTTGCCGGTCTTTGATGCATAGAGTGCCTCCAGCTTGTTCCACAGAGTTCTGGCATGAGTTTCTCCGCTAATGTGGTTGTATACATTATCGTCGACGAACTATTGAATGTAGCCACATACTTGCTCATGCTTGAACTCCCATTCCTCTTCAGCTTTGCCATCAGGTTTAGTTGGGCTAAACACCGGCAAATGCAACTCCGTCACGAGTAGGATATCCTTCATATTGTTTCTCCATATGTGATAGTTTGAGCCATTCAGACTTATCATCTTGCTTGTTTTTGCCTCCATTAGATGTGGCTCTGATACCACTTGTTGGGCGCAGCGGGTGTGAATAGAGGGTAAATATATTGCACTAAGAAATCACACGCTTGTAAAAAGTTCACAGGTAAGTTGGACCTGGTGGCAGAGCCTCCAGAATTACGGTAACCAACTTACTTAGATCAATTTACTTCGGTAATTTAATAATGCAATATACTATGACTATTCTCAAAATAACAACAAGCATATACAATAATAAATGGCACAGAGGATTTACGTGGTATACCATGATTTAGGGCCAGTCCACGGGAACAACAGTTCCGGAGTATTTCATCACTATTGCAACAGTAGGTTACAGAGAATTTCAAGATACAAGGAAATAGAACACTCGATGTTTACCGGAACAACCTCACTATTTCACTCACAAGAATTATCCTATCTACCCGTGGTAGTGAAAATGTTTCACTACCAAAACCCACAAAAGAATTACGAACAGAAGCAGAGCAAAGGAATTGGAGAATTATGAAATGGTGGGATGATCTAAAGAGCTATTGGTGGTCTCCTTTTATAGCCTAAGGAGAAGAGAGAGGGAATTAAATTTCCACCAAGTTTTTCGGTGCTAACTGCCTGCACCTCTCCCCAGCTGTGTTTATTATTATCTGTTAGTTTTTTTTATTACTAATTATCATCGCCAATTGATGGCTTCTTCCTCACCACATGTAGGCGGGCCAACATGTACTTGCACCCATAACCTTGCTCACGCCTCACAGTGCTGCTTTGGGAGAGACACTCGGAGTGAAACAAGGTTGTTTCACGGCAATAGTATAGTCTCCCACCCAACAACTCTAGATCTCCTATACAACCCTGCAGCAGCCGCAACGCTGTCTTAGCCCAAAACAAACTTGCTTTTGTAGACTCCCACAACATTGCCTAGGCCAAACGGCAGTGTTTTGAATTTTTCTTTTATTTAAACAAAAATATCAAACAGCCGTGTGTTTTTAGTGTCACCTATGCTGGCAGCTCCGCACTGTTGTTTTCCCGCAACAATATTGAACTACTAGCCGCAATGTTGTTTTGGCTGAAACGACTGCGTTTAACTAAACCTTTTTTTTACTGTCGCTTTAGATTTGTTTTGCTCATTGCTGCGGCGACTAAAATTACATCACGACCAATGTGGTTGTTAACCCTCATCACCGCTGGCCTTTTATCTTCCTTGCCGCAAACCAGCAACCAGCGCCAACAACTTCGCAAAACCTCAACAAAAAATATATTTTATTATTTGTTATACGGCCAACAACGTTGGTACTTCAACCACATTGCTCTTGTAATTTTGTTTGGATTTTTTCTTTATTTATTTTTAACTTGGCCCAAAGTGAGTCCCAAATATCATCAACGTTGTTGGCCGCTTTGTTCCAAAGTCCAAACGACAGCGTTTCCATCATTTTTTTTTCAATGTTGCTCAAAGGAACAAAACGACAATGTTCCATTACTATTATTCGATGCCACCAATCAGCCAACAACGATGGACTGCATCATTGCTTATCGCTTAGGCTCGGTGGTGCTGGCATTTTTTTTTTCAACGGCATTGTTTATCCCTCTATCACTGTTGAGACAAGAGAAAACAACACCGTTTGCCATTTTAAACCATCAACAACACCGACTTCTTCTTAACAATGTCGCTTGATTATATTTAAATAATAAGAATTTTTTCCCTCTTTTTTTATATATTACATGGCCTAAATTAGCCACATATTTATTTTAATAGTAGTTAAACAAAACAAGGTTGGCATTGGCATAAACCATCGTGCCAAAAGTCCAAACCCACTGCCAACTCCACATATCAAACCAAACAAGCCATCCATAAATTCCCTGACTCGTTGGTTTCACACACGTTGGTTTTGATATTTTGGAATCAATGTTGGTTTGCAACTCCCCAGTTTGTCGAGCTCGAACACCTTTGTTTGAAATTCCACGAGCTCGATTTGGCTTCATCTCAACCATCAGTTTTGTTCGAGAACATGAGAAATCACCAGTGGTCTTTGTTTTCGGCAAGACATTCACCTTTTTTGACATCTTTGTCTTGTCAAGTCGACCATGCAGCATTTGCTTGCCTAGACCGGTCTGATTTAATTAGTTGCATTCTCTCACTATGTTGTTGAGAGTATGAGCCCCGATGCTCACGAGCTTCACCAACACTCTTGTGATTGCGCTGTTTACTACGACACTTACCACACAACCACATTATTTCTTTTGAACTCTCACATGATTGTGGAGTTTGTTGGACAGTGGAATTGCCCCCATGTCCACCATTCATGGCAGACTTGGTCCCTGCCGGCACTGGCGTGACAACTCTATGTCGGGCTCGATTAAACTTGCCCCCCTTTCCACTCAGTGGAGCCTTTGGGGACAATTTACACGAAGGAATCGGTTGAGCAATACCAACTTTCGCGGCATTGAGTTTTTTTACATGATCAACACCTTCATCTTGAGTAGTGTCTGTGGTGACCCTAGTTTGACTTTTCCTAGAACAAGGTGGATGTGGCAAATTTATTTGCCACTTACGGTGTTGTTTCTCCTTCAATCTACCACGAGATGGGATGGCATGCCCCCGAGTGGCTTAGATTGACCAACATTGTAAAATTAGTCATCTTTCAAGATATCACAGTTGTTCTTCCTAATTTTCTGAAACTTATTATAAACACGTTTAAATTTTGTTCTTTGTTGTGGCTTTCGCAAGACCGCTCTAACTTTCCTGTCCTTCAAAACAATAGTGTTCACAGGAGAACCAACATGAGATTTGTTGGCCCCTAACGCCACTGTTTTAGCCATAAGTTTAAGTGAATCCTTATTGGCAATACCGGAAACATGTTCATCTATCATCTCAAAAAATTTATCCATATGTCTTCCAAGAGAATCACAAGGCTTATTTAAAGAGATAAAATAGAGATTTACCTACCGGTAATATTCCTCTACAGATCGACGAAGAGACAGGAGTGCAGCATGCCCATCAGTGCTCGGCATGGATTGGGGTCACTCCTTCATCACCCCGATATGTCTATCCGCCTCATATGCTCCTCCAACTTCAATGTCGGCCACACGCTCCACCTTCACAGATTCTTGTGGAATATCAACATTGTGTTTTCCATGCCGCAGAGCCATATTTCACTTCAAACACACGTATCCCACCGGGCGTGTCAAATTGTTTCCTGCGAAAATCAAATACCACCGTCGGTGCCGAATTCGTTTCTGGCGGTGTTGATTTAATGTTTCGCGGTGGAAACTCTTGCGATGCCGTTTGATCGAATGCACCACTGATTGCTGAAATCGAGACGACCGTCAAATATCCACCGCCTGGCGATGTTGATTTGATCGGTGCAACTCTGACTTTTGAAAACGATGACGATCGTCAAATGTCCACCGTCGGGCGATGTTGATTTGATCGATCCACCTTTGACTTCTAACCAAGACGACCGTTACTACGGTTCGCACCTCTCTAAACTACGTTCGAACGAGGGTGTTTGAGTTTTGGGGAATCTACGTTAGATCTACTCCTATGGAGATTCCTGTGGAGAGCTCCGCGACTACGATTACTGCTACGACTATGGAGATCCTTCCTGGAAGGAGAGCTCCGCGAGGGAGTTATAGAGAAAAAGATAAGTTTGACAGAGTTGTTCTATGTTGATTTCGTTGTCCCTTAGCTTCTCTCTCTTCCCAATCTTTATACTTGGCTCTTCTCCCCGCAGTCGTAGTAACTGCCTTCGCGCCTTTGTCTCCCACGTCTTCGTTCCTGTCAACCGTGCAGGTAACCTCCTCCTTGTTGCGTGATAACCACGTGCCCCCGAAACCGTTCCGCTACGCAGAAACTTGGCAAACTGCGTTGAGCCAAATCCTACATCCTTGTCCAGGCAACGATGCCGTTTCACCTCCATAACTTGAGCGAATCAACCTCCTTCATTCATAACCTCATTCTCATCAATAGAGCGGCATCGCTTTTCAATAATCGATGCCGTTTTATAATCACACCTCAATCGCCTCGTCCCGATTTGACCAACAACATCGTTAGCCCATCATACAACGTCGTTTTCTAGTCTTGCGCTGTCGTTGGCTTGGCGGACCGCCTTTGGCCGAACTCTTACCCACGGCCGCGGTGTCATTTTCTCTTTGCGGCGACATTGTTTGCTTTTTTACTCCATGACACTATTTTAAATAAAACACTGTCGTTTTCACTACCGCGGCATCGTTGGACTCACTCGCGGTGTCGTTCTTACTAAAACGACACCATCCAAAATAATCTTTAAAATATTAAATAATTAAACTGACTATAATTGTTGACACGCCGTCAAACTCTCACTTTGCGGCACTGTCGTTTGCTAGTACATCGACATCGTTGGGCCTACTTGCGGTACCGTTTTGAATTAAACCACAGCGCCTAAAGAAATACCAACGTATCAAATTGCCGTGATTTTGCAGGTTTGGGCTGGGCAGATTTTTGGGCCAATAACTTATCTGTGGTTTTTTAATTAATCTGCACTGCTTATCAAGGCCTCTTGCGGTATCGTTTTTAAATCCGCGGTACCGTTTAAACTCTCCGCGATGCCGCTCTACTCCAAACGACACCGTTTTTTACCCGCCATATCGAATTAAATGCCGAGACTAATTAATGCTGCATTTAATTCAAGCCAAATTAATTTTAGGTGTCAACACTTTGTTTCCGCATAGGATAGAATTTGTGGCAGCTCCCCGTCTTGGGCGCACTGGACGCTTACGTGATCGAGGTCAAGTAATCGACAGAGGTTTTGGATACAACGACAATGAAATATAAATCAGTAGAGAGCCCCATTGTGAAATTGATGCGTAAAATGGATTCACGTAATTGCAGGGATCAAAGGTAGAATTACAATATGGCGGATTCCAGTTGTCACATGTGGACTTCATTGGTAGGAATCATCGCTAGAAACGCCGGCCATGTCCCTATTTTCTCTGTGTGGGTGCCGATTCTGGTGGTGTTCTAGGGACTACATTTCGATTGATGATCGGCCAGAAACCCTTTCCATGGCTGGCTAGCTCCTATAGTTGCGTAGGTATGTGAACTGTAGGGGTTATAGTCATGTAAAACTTGATGTTTGGCTTAATACAATTATTTTATTTCACATATGTTGATGCTTAAACTAATAGTTAAAAACATAATAGTAGGCACAACCAAGGAGTCGATATTGGTCAATGGTCATTGTTATCTGATGAAATTTTGTACAACCGGCAGAAGGAACTTAATATGCCTAACTTGGAGATGACTGATGCTCAACTAAATGAATATTTATTGCTTGGGCTTAATTGCAAGTTTGGTCACTCGAATTGCTACAAAATTTCATATTTGCCACTCAAATTAATTTATTCCATTTATAGTCACTTAAATTAGGTTAACAGTCCAAGTTTGGTCACTGGCCGTTAGTCTCCGTTAACTTTTGCTGATGTGTCAGTCAACTCTTATTGTTGACCGTTAAATACATGACGTGTCAATTAAAAATAAAATAAAATTTAAAATTTTCACATCAGCCCAGTCCTCCAATTATCGAAGACGCTTACTCTCCAAATGAATCTGGGTCACCATCGCCCCGACCCGATTCATCGCCAACACCGCCACCCTCACCCGCGTCGCCGGGAGCGACATCCAT